AAGCCCCACTTCATGCCAGCATCATGGAGACCTCTCCCCAGGATGGAGATCTTCAGTGGTCACCTCCTGTTCTAGAAGGAATGCCCCTGGCAGCAGGACTAGTGCTTTAATTCCCGGTATTGTTCTGACCTTGGAGTGTTTGGCTGGCACAAGGTTATTCACCAACTGAAGAGACTATTATAATAACGCAGCCTCTACCCTTGGCGTCGGAGATGCATCTGCAGACTGTTTTCTTGTTTGGGTAGATAATGACTTGCATTTTGTTCCGAAGGAACTGACTGTTTAACAAATGAGTTGCTGAAGGCGCCTCCGTTACTCTCATAACTGCTTGTGCTTAGACAAACTTGAGTATATTATGCAGTCTTTACAGTACAAAACAAAGACACTCTCTCCGTTCATTTCGTTAGTCCCCCATCTCTCCTCTACCTTACATTTAAAATCACAAAATAATACACGCTTTAAGAAGAAAATGATAAAAGATATATATATTTATCATGTTGTTCCTACACTTACGTATCTTCCCTCAGGAAAACTAAAGTTGTTAACTGTGTACAAAATCATATAAATATAGACACACACATAGAGAGATGCATATCTGTAGAATTACGGAGCATGGAATTATATGGGAGTTAACAATATGGTCATAATACATACATTACTCTGGAATCTTCTTTCTTTTCTCTTGGTTTTCTTTCCTCCTCAAGATAAGTTCTATAAATAGCTTACTCTTTTAGGATCACCAGGATGTTTCTTGCAGCAATTGTGTGGCTCTGATTGTCACTCAGGGGGAGGCACGATGGGACAACAGTGGTTTTTAATTTCTTGCCACTACGAACAATACTGATTTACTATCCTCTTAATGGGGACAAGGCAGAAGCAGACATCCCCAGCCAGGGCAGCCATAGTGCTTCTGTGATCCGCCAAGCCTCTCTTCACGCCAGCAACTCTTTCCATCTCTCCGGGATGGAGATCTTCCGTGGTCACCCTCTCTTCTAGAAGTCATGGTCTTTACACAGCGTGTCTCTCGTGCTATAAAATAGTTTCCCCCCAAACAACTGAATGGTTGAATCATATGTTACTTAATTTTAAAATTAATCATATATGATTATTTTTTAAAAATCTGTTCTAACACCTATTCTTACCGTCTTTATCTGAAAGCACCACTTTCCCTAGTCCTAAGCTGCTTTAGGCATCTTTTTCTTATAATTTCACATCTAGGAGTGAAATTACTATCTCATTGGTGTCTTATTGGTCTTTTCTTGATCACGTATGAGACTAAATCTTTCTTTGCATGTTCATCGACTGTTTTTGTTCTGGTTTGGTTTTTTCTTCTTTCCATGTCACCTCTGGCTTCTTTTTTTTTGTTAAGACTTTTTTCTTTACAGATCTAAAAATAGTTATTTTATGTGTATGGATTTTTGCATGAATATGTGCATATCTGGTGCCTACAGAGGACACAAGAGTGCATCAAATCTCCTGGGCAGGCGTTCCAGATGGTTGCTGGCCACTGGGTGGGTGCTGGAAATTGAGGTGCCACCTTCCAGAGGAGTAGCAAGTGCTCCTGACCGTTTGGTCACCTCTCCAGCTTCTCTTTGCTGATTTTTAAGGTTATATATGTTAGGGGTTGTTTTTTATCGTAAGTATTGTAAATGAGTTTTTTCAGTCCATTTAAACTTTCACTTTATTTACAGTATTTTAAGCACAGTTTTTACATTTTCCAGAATTAAATATGTCTCTTTCCCTTCATAGTCCCTAGGAATTTTAGTGTTCTGAAAAACTCTGTTGGGGGTCAAGAGATGATTCAGTGCATAAGAGTACTCACTGCCCATGCATGAGGATCTGAGTTCAGATCCACATCACGCATGTAAAAAGTTGGGCATTGCTGCACATATATCAAAAACCCTAGTGTGCTCATGAGTGCGTACATGCATGTGTGTGTGTGTGTGTGTGTGTGTGTGTGTGTGTGTGTAGATAGTAGGATCATGACTTGCTTGCCACTCTCCTAGCTCCAGGTTCAGTAAGAGACCCTATCTCAAGGGATAAGATGGAGAGTGATCAAGCAGGACTCTTGAGGCCCCACTCTGACCTTCATCCTTCATACGTGCATACATACCACACACACATAAGTTCACACACATAGATTCAAAAAATAAAAATAAAATAAAATAATTTGGGAAGCTGTTTTAGAGGGCAGAATTATAGGATTCTTCTTCAAATAATTTGTTGGTTAACACTTTTGCATTTAGATGTTGAATTCTTCTTTCTTTGCATGTATAGCAGTACACGAACATGTGCCCCATTTATTGGTCAAAGCACCCGTTTCTCACTGAGTTTGCGGCAGCATGCTGTCATCTCTTCACACTTCCTGGACTGGATTTTGGGTTCTGAAGGAATCGGTGGATGCTATTTGCTGGCGTCTATTTGGTGACATTGGGAGCTATGCTAAATACAGCTTGCTAACTTCAAATGAGATCGCAGTATTAGTTAGAGAAGACTCGTGTGAAAAGAAGAAGACCTTAGCTCTCTGTGAGTATATCTGATCCAATAGCAATGTCAATCATGAACCTCTGGAGTCTAGGCCAGCCCTGTGTATGATTGGCGTGTATATTATAATTCATGAAACTTCCAGTTCGTTTACATTAAAAGTTGGCTTTTTAAGCTCCCGTGAATGTAACTTAGCCATTACTTTGACTTAGAAACCAGCTCTGAATATTGTTTTCTCTTTCTGTGGAGACTGAACCCTGGGCTTTGCATACACCAGAGAAAAGCTCTGTCACTTAGCTCAAGCTATGAAATCTGACGTGTCTGTAGCTCTAGCAGATGATTTGTTTATCCGAGATCCAAACTCATGAGTTTAAATTAATGCCAATTAAAGTAATATAATGGGTGAGTTTTAACTTTCCAAACATAAAGCTTCAATTGAGAGCTGGAGAGATGGCTCAGTGGTTACGAGTGTTTCCTGTTTCAGGATTCAGATCTGAGCACTCACATTGGAGGCTGGGCACCCCATGCATAACTAAAACCTCTTAAAGAGACAGGAGAATCACTAGGGCTACTGACTTCTAGGCTACTCAGGATGCAAATTCCAGGTTCAGAGAAACATTCTGCACTAGAGGAATAGGTGGAGAGTTATGGCTTCTTCTGGCTTCTGCGCGTATGTACACACAGACAACACACATAGACAGACAAATAAATAAACAGCTTCGGCTAACCTGGGGATGTAGCTCAGTGATTAAGTCAAGTACTTGCAAAATAAAAGTAAATTAAATTAAAAAAGTAAATAACAAAAATGCCTTTAAGCCTAATAACTAGAGAAGTTACTAGTTATTTACCCTTATCATTTGCTGAGAGATTGCCAATGAAATGCACATTTCTCTTTTAATTAATTGTTTTAGTGTTTAATTAAATACAAAGTGGTTTCAAATTGATTTTAATGTTTTAAAGATTTGCATATTTACATACATGCACGCACACGTGTATGTGTGTCTATCTGTGTCTCTGTGAGTGGATGTGTCGATGGGTGGGTGGGTGCACACAGCTGTGCACTAACAGAAGACAGCATCTCATCCCTTGGAAGTGGAGTTACAGGTGTTTGCAGGATACCCAGCTAGACTCCAAACTCAAGTCCTCGTGATTGTACAGCGAGCCCTCTTCACTGAGCTCTCTCTCTACCCCCAAAATACTGAAGTAAAATATTCTCCTCCCGGTGTTTGAGTGCTGCTGCTTGCTTTCACTACAGAACAAATGTCATTTTGGGAGACACGACTGTTTGAATTGAGACTGATTGATACTGCCCTTTTGCTGCCTCCTTGGAACCTACCCATTAAAATTTCGCCCACGCTCCCTTTCAATGGCCAGTCCTGAACTTACCTGAACACACACCAGAAACAGCCCTGCTCCTCTTGCTAAGCAGCGGACGTCTACTATTTAACATTTTACTGAGGCGTAGCTCAAGCTCACAATTCCTGATGCACATTTCTAAAATCTAAAAGGTTTTAAAACTCACAAAATTTGGGGAAAGTTTTAACATCAAATTCTGACTAAATGCCTTTCTTCTCTTGAGACTTTTTGCTGTATCTGTGCTGTGGGGTTTAGGGACGCTTTCCTCAGCTCCACTGTGATTGACACATGGATTGCATTCTAATCACCATTTCGCCTTTCCCAAATAAAAATAATCTAAATGACAAACTGTATCACTGGTCCCAGAGATTTCTAATAAGAAATTATAGGCCGATATTTGGGAAGGATCAACGGAGCTTGCTACCCCCATTCTTTACAACCAGTATTAATGATGGCATTAAAGGCCATTAATGGTGTCATTTATTGAATGCTTACTGTGTGTATAGGCGATACTTTGCACTGAGAGCTGGAGGCTGTAATTCTTCACAGTGAGCCACATAACTACTTAGAGACAGAGCTGTGCTGGATGCAGCTGGGATCCAAACCAGTTGGCTCTGTTGTCTACCTTTGCTTGCATATCCGCTATGTTTGCCCATGAGCATTCTTTTCCTCCTTCATACTGTTTTATTTTCTCAGCATGGTGCTCCATGTGCAAACAGGATGAGACCAGTAGCACATACAAAAGAACCCATGATGTCACTTGGCTCTTCTCTGTGCCTATTTCCTTACTTTTTAAATGAGACTCAAGTCTGGGTGGGCAGCTCAGTGGTGGAGAGCAGGAGCACACCAAAGAAAGACCTCAGGATCTGCTCCCAGCATCAGGAATAAGGACGGCGGTTCAAACACAGTTCGCCCACTGCACAGAATGGCTCCAGCGAGATTAACATCTTTCAAAGACTTCCAAAGGGAAAGAAAAGTAGAACAGTGCATGGCGTCATACTGTTAACTCTACACCTCTCAAAATCTTCCCGGAGCACCTTCACTTACAAAAGCTTCTGATAGTCTACAGTGTTTTTGGTTTTTAAATGCAGCTTTACTAAAACACAATCACATGCCATACAATGCCTCCCTTGGACCCATACAGTTCAATAACAGATTTAATAAAGTTACAACGATGCAGACACAGCCACTGTTGTAGGACATATTTCACCAGCCCTGAAAAGCACCCCAAAAACTCGCTAAGAGTTGCTACCCTTCCCTCCTCTGCTCTAGGTTCAGAAAGAGACCCTTCTTTCTGTATCATTTCTGTGTCTGACTCTTGTATTTCAATGTCCTACTATTCTGAAAATTCAGGGCTTTAGAGACTTCTTTCAAGGAAGGAAAACAGTGTCAGCCAAGATGGAACTGAGCACACCCTGAAATCATCCCCCGACTCCTCGGAAAGTTTGAGCTGAAGGTGCGGTTTCAGGAACCCACCATCTTCAGAATGTCCGGGAGCTTGCAGACCTGCAGTGGTTAAATCAATAGTTAATGATGTTCGTCGTGTAATTTGAGCCTCTAGTTTGTTTATGCTAGACCAACTTGATCCATACTCCAAACAAATTATCTCTTATAATTACCAGCCCGAAGATAAATCTCTAAATGTTTTTCTGATGATAGTGCTGTGGTTGGCAGGTGTTAAAAGTGCCTCCCAGGGACAAAGATTGAAGATGAGCTCTTCCCGCAAATCCTTCAGGCGAGGATGTTGCGCTCTCTAGCCTGCCGTGTACAAAGGAGCCTTGTATGGTGCCCCGTTAATGAAATCTAATAGGCAAAGGTCGTACATCTTTACAAAGAAAAATGCAAAGCTGGTGTGTGATGAATGGACTCCGGGGGCTCAGTGGACCAGCTCTGTGCTACAGAGGGTGTGTAAACAGTCTGCCTGGCTTCTCTCTAATGTTCATGCACTACGTCCCCTCCTGTCAGTGATGGCTTTACCTGATGTAATGGGCACAATGGATACAAAAGTAAGCAGTCTGTCCGTCTTCGGTTCTTTCAGCTACAGTGACCACATAGTCATTATTAATAGACACTTTAACCACCACAATAGTTTATAGAAAAAGGCTGTAGGTGTTTAGAGAGATCTCTTAAAAATCTATCTAATTAATTAAAATATGCTTTTAACGTCTCTTCAAGCAGCGGCATTCGATCTGTTGGTTGTGACCCCTTTGGCAAACCTCTATCTACAAATATTATATTACAATTCATAACAGTGGCAAAATTACAGTTGTGAAGTAGCGATGAAAATAATTCATAGTTGTGGAGTCAGCACGCCATGAGGAACTATATTAAAGGGTCACGGCATTAGGATGGTTGGGAACCACTGGCTTAAGGGGAAAGTCCTCAAATCCATATGCTTTCAAATGCTCTCAGAGCACCAGGCCATGCGTGCGGTGATGCAAGCTTTTAGTCAAAAATCTGTGCTGCTTTCGAAATTCTAGAACACGTTAAATTTGGAATTGCAAAGAGTTAAATAAATCAGATATTGTTGAATCAAGTCGCTGCTGATTTTAAAAGAAGTTATCAGTTCATTTGCTGTAGTTATACTGCTGGGCGAAGAGACAGTTCAATAAATCAACTCAAGCTTGATGGATTCTTCAATTCACTGAAATGAGTGTGTGGAAGAGAAAAGAAATCTCTTAGTATTTCCTCCTTGACAAAAGGGTATGCAAAGAGCCTGAATGGATGAATGGTTGATTAATTTTGCCAGAAATTTTCTTGACAGCAGGAAATATGTTTTTGCATTGCTGTTTGCATGGGATTTATTTGGGAGAATATGAGTTATTGCATGTAAATTTGCACCTGAAGCTATGTCGCTAAAACAGCTATTTCTGAGTTTGGGACCTATAATATTTTTATGTGGTTGTGCACGCCACACCGTTAGGCATTGCCCCGGAGCAGTGTTTGTGAATGTCTCTTCTCACTGATGTGAGTACAAACTGTCAAATGCTGCCAGGGCTTCAATTTTGAGATGGGTTAGGGTCCTCATCTCTCTGCAAGGAAAAGGCTGGAGGCAACCAAGTCCTAGACTTTCCTGGAGTCCCTGGTAGATGACTGATAGGCTCTTTCCTTTAAATAAGGATGGGAAGGCACATGGTAGCCCCTATCCTTTCCAACTTATAGGAGCCTGTGAATGACTACACTTCCAAGGAAGGGATCCAGTCACAGATGAAAAGCCCCTGGCTGCTGTTGATGACGGTTGCACTGGGTGAGAGCAGAAATCTTAGCTCCTTTACTAATCATATAACATCTCTACTGTACCTACCTGGTGAGGGACCTTTCCCAGGACAGTGCGGAAGGTATGCAGACTTGGGGTTCTCTATTGGAGAAGCGGGTCATAGCTTTCTCTGTGGTTGCCTCTGCTTCTGTGTTCAGGAATCTAGTCGTGGTGAAAGAAATAATTACCCCTCCTATCCTTGTGCTATAAGTCGCAGAAACCCAACTCTAACTGCTTCGAGGGAACAGCAAATCAAAGTATATCAAGTGTGTGGGGGCCTTGGGCGCGAACTAGTGGTCGGGTCTTATCGTTTTCTCCACCTTACACCCATTTCTTGGTGCTGCCTACATTCCCAGAGAGGCTGTCTGTAACCTGCCAAGGTAGCTCCAAGAGTATCCAGTCCTTAGATCTTTAGACCACGGGGCAAGAGAGAACCTCATAAAATGCGTGTGAATTTTTTTTGTAGCCCAGTACTTTCAGTGTAGCTGAGTAGATGAAGCAGAGCCCTGAGGGAGAGCTCTCATTATTTCTATGAGAGGACAGAGGCAGCATGAACATTCAGATCATACCATGTTCAGGAGGAGAGAGGAAAGCCCTTCTCTCTCTATAACTTGCTTTCAGGTGTCCCAGACTCTGCAGAGGCCATCTCTATGGGGAGAATCATGAAGGAGTTGAGTTTCGAACCCCAGCACCCAAGTAAAAATCAGGGTATGGCAGCACATGCGTGTGACTCCAGTGTTAGGAGACACAGACAGGGGAGTCCCAGGGGAAGGAAAGGCGCACTCTGACCAGGCAGTCTAGCTAATCAGTGAGCTCCAGGTTCGGGTGGAGGAAGACACTGGTGTCAGCTTCACCCCTCTACAAATGCATACATGGCACATGCACTGTATACACACAGACACAGACAAACAGAGAGCCAGTGAGCTAGCCAGACACACACACACACACACACACACACACACACACACACACTAAATGCTCAAAATATTTCTTAAGTGTAACTCCATGTTTTAGTTATTTTTCTGTTGCTATGAGAAAACACCATGACCAAAGACAACTTAAAGAAAAGAGAATTTTACTTGGCCGGCATTTCTAGAGGGATGAGAGTCCATGGTGAGAGTCCAGCACAGAGGCACGGCAGCAAGCAGCAGGCACAGCAACAGGAACGGGATGCTGAGAGTGCACATCTTGAACCATAAACGGGAAACAGAAAGAGCTAACTAAAAGTAACTAGGGGCTTTGAGTCTCAAAACCTGTCCGCAGTACTGTGCCTCCTCCCACAAATCTCCACCACCCTAAACCTCCCCTGCCCCCAAAATGCTACCAACTGGGGACCAAGTGGTCAAATGCCCAAAACTATAGGGGACATTTCTCATTCAAACCACACACTCTATATAAAGGATAAAACCTGGAGAGAGATGGACAGGACGTAGGAACAAGTAGAAAGGTCACCGTTCCACAAGAGTGATCTCAGCCTATCCCATCTCTAGCGGACAGAGTACAACTCTGCATTGAGAATGTGGTTCCCTTGTTGACCATCTCATTGTGCAACCACGTGTGAGCCATTTCCCGCCAGACATTTCTGTTAACCAAATCAATTCCTGGAATTAGGTATCAGTGGGCTCTTTTAAATAAGAAAAAAAAATGCTTCTTTTTCAAACTTCTCCATATAGTTGGTATTTTGGCACTGCTGGTGACGGGTCAGGATGAAGGTGAGGAAAGAGTTAAGAGTAATGGAGGGAAATCAGAGAGACATGAGTGCTGGCACAGATGCACACAGGAATCCTCTAAATGATGAGCTGTGACAAGGGTCCAAGGGTCACTGGGGATTCCTCCCTCAGTTCATCTCAGAAGGAGCTGCTACAAGCCACTGGCTGGAGCCAAACTGGGAAAGATGGATGCTCGCTGAGTCTCAAACTCATGTTTCAATCCCAGGACCAACCAGGCACAGACAAATTAAACAACTTGGGCCCCGCACATTCTGAAGTTAATTGGTCCTTCCTCTCAGAGAAGATGACAAGCTGGGTTACTTGTTTGGGGGACCATGTAAGAAATACAAAAGCAGTGGCAGGTGCTGATTCTCAGAGTAAACAAAAAGCAATTAAAACCATTGGTTTTTGTTTTCTTTTGAAAAAGGAAGAGAGAGAGAAGGGGAGAGAGAAAGAGAGAGAACATGATGTTGGATGGGTAGGTATATGGGGAGGATCTAGGAGGAGTTGAGGGTGGAGAAAACATGATCAAAATACATTGTATGGGGAAAATTAATAAAATACAAATAAAAACAACCAACCAAAAGTAACTATTCAAAAACTCACATCCAAAAGGATCTAGATGTGTGGGGGTGGGGCAGAGCCCATGTTGAAGACAGATGCTTTCCCTGGGAGGTATCTGTTAAGTGCAGCTTTCTGTGTCATAAGTCATGTCATGGGACCTCCGAGAAGACTGGACATGTGCTAGTGATAAGATTGTACTTGTGGGAAAAGATTGACTCGCCCAGAAAAATAAACATGACTGCAAAATACAGCCAGGCTCCAGCCCCGCTATTGATTCTCCATTTGAAATGAGGATCCTATACCAGATTTAGATTTGACTTGGGCTCTCTGTATTTCTCATTTTGCAAAGGGAATGTGTTTAAGAATATTCTCTGCTAATATATTATCTCTTGTTAATTACTTGGACCCTCTTGGGTCTTTTTTGTTTTTATTTTTGTTTTGTTGGTTTCGTGTGTGTGTGTGTGTGTGTGTGTCTGTGTGTCTGTGTGTCTCTGTGTGTGGCGTCTACAGTGTGGGCTAATATATTGTCGCTCAATACGTAGTCAGACTGGCACACAGCCATCACCCAAGAGCTGCAGACAGCCGACGCTGATCTAATCAGAATCCTCATGTTAACAGGGCATCTTCTAGTGTTTCCTAGAAAAGTTAGAGAAACTTGAGCTAATTTATCTTGTGGTCCAAACCCCCCAGACCTGGGTGGTTCGGCCTCTGATAGTGGAACTCCGCTGCTCTTCCCTTAACTGATGAAGGAGCTGTGCGTTCTCCCTTCTGTTCTGTGGTGCACGCTAACTGATAGCCTCAGCAGAACGCTCCCAGCTCACTGGAGACTGGCTGAGAAAGCACAGGTGTGCGAACACCCTGTGACTAAAGTCAATGTTTACCAAGGATCAGCTGTGTTTGCTCCCAAATCTATTCAGAGTAGTTAATATAATTACATGATCACGAGCGAACAGGGTGGAATAGATTGATGCTTCGGAGAGACTCCGTGTAATGAGGTGATACCTGTTTATACTGAAAATGTGTCCTGGGATGGTGACAATATCACTACCGAAATGGGGCGGGGCTTGTAACATGTAGAAGGAATCTGCATTCCGATTTTGTCTCATGTCTGTTTCTGCCCTGTATTAATGAAATACAATTAGAAATGAGAGCTTCATTTTCTGTATGTGATTTCTACAGTGAAGGTCTGAGAAGCTCTTAGATACTCATAAATACAAAGGTTTTGCTTTGAAATGAAAATGTAAGTGGATACATAATTTTACCTTTGAGTTGCAATGAAATTACTGCTGTAGTTCCCTTTGGAACATTTCTTTTAAAATCATTGTCCTCTCCAAATTTTTAATTAATCGATCAATTAACTTTGTGTGTATGATTGTTTTGCCTGCATGTATGCCTGTGTACCAATTCCTGTCGAGGCTAAAAGAAGTTGTCCGACCCCCCTGAAATGGAGTGACAGGTGATTGTGACCTTCACATGGGTGCTGGAAGTCAATCCCAGCTACTCTGAAAGAGTAGTCAGCGTTCTTAACCACTGAGCCATCTCTCCAATCCCTAAAAAGCAATTGTTATATTAAGCAATTGCTTATCCTAATATCAACCAGAACAAGCAGTCAATAGAAACCTTCCACTATAAAGCTCTAGCGCTTGAAGAATTAAGGAAAATCAAACTGCAGACTTTACTCTTTACCCTTGTGTGCTCTTTCATTATCATGTTAGGACCTTTAGGTCATCAAACCATCCAAAGCGTCCTCTTCAGACCCATCAGCAGCACCTCAGGGGCTGGAGAGATAGCCGGCGCCCGGACTACTGGCTCAGGCTCTCTGCAGATGGGGCCAGGAGTCTGTGTTTTCAGGAACCTGCAGATGGGTCTCATGCAGCTCAGTCATTGGCAGGAAACACAGGAAGGGCAGTGCTTTGAGAAGAATCCAGTCTTCAAGCAATTCATTTATCAGGGACTCTTCCTCTCTTTCCGAGAGTCCTTTTTAATCAGAAACTCTATAGCTTACATAAGTTAAACAAAGGCTACAGCTGAACAACAAAACTGAAAAAAAAAAAAGACTACAAAGAATATCACATTGTGAAAGATTCTTTCGGGAACATATAAGATAAAAGTCACCCAGTGCTCTGGAGTACTGTGTGAGTGAGCATGTGTGTAACCGTTTACACGTCATCTCATTTGATTTTATAAGTAGGTCATTGCTTCATTTTCCCAATGAAGGTGCTGCAGATTAACACCATCAAGTAACATGCCCGAAGATAGATAGCACATGGAGCCAGGATTGGAATGCTAAGCTGTCAATTCCCAACCCTATTTTTTTTTTGCATGTATATGCATGCTGTGTGATGTTCATGTTTGTGTAGAAGCAAGAACAGCAAATGTAGAAACTATGTCTAGACATTACAAATTGAAAGTGATTCTTTGTATCATATAGTTTACTGTTCTTTACCCTACCTGTGTTGAGAGTAAGAGAGGAGAAACTCTAAAATAGACTCCCGCTTTTAATTTAAATTTTGTGGGATGGGCTCTTTGTTTCCTTTTCTTTCTGTGTGTGTGGTGGTTTTGTTTTGTTTTACTGTTTCCAGGATCATTCCGAGACACAGCCAGGGTTGAGAACCAGTGACACAGACAGGTCGGAAATGAGTTTTGAGATCTTGTTTTCTAAGTAGCCTCATTTACCAGTCAAGGATGCCAACTGCCCACTGAGTACTTGCAAGGCATCAGGCATGCTGGGTGACACATTGGTTCCTGCCATCCCCACATCTCATAGCAACTGGGGTCAAAGATAGGCTTGTAGGTTTGGGGAAATCTTAAATTATAATGTTCAGTTTTTAAAATGTCCACCTGAACTTGGGAGATGATTTGCTCTGTCAGCACAGGACCTGAATTCAGTCCCCAGAACTGAACTGAGCCATTTCTACTCATCCCGGGGTCCTGAGTTGGGTTCACAGCACCCATGTTGGGCAGCTCATGGAAACCTGTAGCTCTAGTACTAGGTTATCCATTTCTTAAGGACTCCATGAGCACACACAAATACATACAAAGATAAATCTTTAGGCTTTCCCCCAGCCCTCAATTCTAGTTCTGGTCAAATTCCTTTGATGTGCAAGCCAGCTTTCCCAGATGGGTGTGGTTGCCACCCATCACCAAAGAAGGATCCCTCACAGCAAATAGAGACCACCGCAGAAAACCACAGCTGGACCCAGTGCAGAGAAGCCTGCCCCAAGAGATACCTCGACATCTCAAAGGCACAGCTCCTGCATCTATAGATCAGGAAACATGACAAAAGAGGGCACGGGAAGATTATAAAAACCAGAATACCAGGAAGTCTGCTGTGAAGCAGTTTTCCTTAGAGATGTCTGCAGGAACAAGAGTGGGCCCGTGTAAAGATCAATGGGCACATTAATGTAGAGGAGGCCGTTTCGAGGGAGGCAGCTTACGATGGCTGGGAAACTAGCCTCTCTCTGGAGCATGAGCCCCTTATTGGTCGTCCAACACAGAGTGGAACCATATCCACATAAACAGCAAAAACGGACTTAGCAAGGTTGTGTTTTATATTTGTGCATATACCTAAGAGGGGGATGGGAGGAGTTTGTGGAGGGAACCCTGGGAGGGGCGAGAAGCAGGGAGAAAGGGATATAAATCTATTTCAATTAATAACAAATCTTCTGGAAATACAC